AGCAAATTCAGCGTATCCAGTGGGCTGGATTTTTTGCCATTTTCTGATAGAAAAATGTCACAAATCATGGTCATGTGAACACAGGATGCTGGAACCAGTTATAAATGCAACCTGGGTGCTAAGTTTTATATGAAGAAGACTCATGTGGTAGCATACTGTATTATATAAAATATTTCAATTTTTGAATTTTCATTACAATACCTTTTAGAGAAGCATTTTTGCAGGTATAGTTGAATGAGGCAATGCTAGGTATTGGCTTATGACATTTGAAGCCATCTCCATACCTCACTATACAATACATCTGGATGTTGATTGTTGGTGGGAAGATGTTTTTATGTCCAGATGAGCATAATTAGCTCCAAAATTAAGATCAGACCATTAATCAAGAAGCAAACAATACCCCAAACAAGAAACTGCCATTCAGGCTAACAGTAAATGGCTCAACCAATTGCCATTGGGGCAGTAACACATCTAAGACCACTCCCATTAACACTGACCTAGCAAACCACAGGAATATAAACTGAGGGAAAACCGCATTCATTACTAGCATTGTTGATGTGATCTAGTTTGGGTAATGAAATGTCTGCATAAAATCTATGAAGCTCAGAGAGCACCCAGGACCCATCATTTCAATCCTGAGCTAGAAATAGTCTCCTTTACTGAATTGCCAATATTTTTTTATTGCTTGGAGTAAACTCTGAATTACAGTGGAAACTTAGGGCAACCACTGCAAAGGACTGAAGCACAGGTGTTAATGTTTGTGGCCTCTAGCACCAATTACACACAGAGGTCACTGCATTTTGTACTAACTCCATTTCTGAATGGTTTTTCAAGGATGCCTCATGTAAAATGCACTGCAAGAGTTCAACCAGGAGATTAAAATTTATAACTATGAAAATCCTCAGAACAATCATTACCCATATGGCATATTTTATTGTGAAAAATTAAAATCAAATTTGCACAGATGGAAAGCTCTGGATTCTATTACTATCCCAATAACTTTAGGAACATAGCTAGATGTTCCATTGGTGGAAATAAAAAATTGTTTATAAGCCTGCATTTTGCGAGAGATTGGCTAAGTAAACTGGTAAAATACTGGACTGAAATAACAAATGTAATTTATAGTTCATTGTATGACTATACAATTTGATGAATAGTTTCTACTAAAACATAGCATCTGAATTAGCCTTTCAGCCTCTGAATAAAACACAATATTACTGTTTGATTTTATCCCCTCATAGTGTGTGAATTTTATACAATACATTGGAGGCTAGCAAGGTATTTACTTCTTTTCCCCAATACATTTGTTACCAATGTTATCCATGAATGGGAGAGGAATGTGCTACATTAGACAAACCACGCTTGTCCTAATCTGTCTATAAAAAACACAGTTCTTCCCTAGCATTGAGAAAAGGGGAACTAACTGACTGTTCCTTTCTTTGATTCCAGAATTTAATTTTCCCACATACTATATGAATTGCCTAATTTAAATGGACTGTGAATGATCTGACCTATTCATTACTCTCTAAGATCAAACCAAGGACTATTCACAGATTATGTTTTATGTTGAGAAACGCAGTAATTGCTGCAAAAACATCTCTCAATTTGGTTACATTTATCAGAAAACCATAAGGTTCATAATATGCAATATTTACAGAGTATTATTCAAAATATATTTGACACAATCCTCTTGCCTTTCATACCAATTATTATTTTTGATTTTAATCCTTTTGGAATTTTGAAACTTAACACTGAAATGTATAGTAGTGGAGTGTAAGCTATTTTAATCTCAACATAAAGCAGAATATTTCAAGAACTCCTTTCTGATTTTTCTTGTAAATCTACAAAAAAACCTCCTGCTGACTCCATGTTGATATAGTTAGAAATTTTTCAATATTAAAAACAAAATATACACATATTTTAGGCAATGTTATCTACAATGACAAAAAAATGAACTATGTTTTATCATTCTATGAACAGAAACTAACTTAATTTATATTATGGCTGAAGCAATTAGCTTAATAGCCATCTGGCAAAATGAAAATCATTACTCAATGTACTTAGCTACTTTATATATCAGTGAGATTTAATGTAACTTCTTTGTGCCAGTCCTTTAGAATTATATAACTCTAAACTCACTATTTAACAAAACCTTAAAAAATTAGACTGACAAAATATGAAACAAGGGACCATAATTTTCCATAACATTTTCCCCAATTTGACTTAAGGTACCAGTCCATAAAGTACTTAATATTTGTTAATTATGGTTCAATATAAATTATTTTAAAAGGATATTATGGTTCTTTTATGAAATCTATTAAGAGTATTGAGAATGAACACTTTGGTCAACAGTAGCATCTATAATATATGTCTCAAATACGAGCAGTTGGGATCCATGTCCAGATTCATGCAAGAAAGAACACCAAAGACATGAAAGTGAGTAGAAAATCCAAGGTTGGGTTTGTGTAATTCTTCACTTGTGTTTAGTTCTACTTTAAATATCTGAAAAATGTAGAAACGTCAATTAGAATTTTCAACACATTTTTCTTTAAGAAAAAAGAGAGGGCTAAAGTAACTAAATTGAGTTGGTGCCTCCTCACTTTGTGCACAGGAATCAAAATTGTTAGCCAAGTATTGAAAGTTCACAACTGGATTTCTTAAGAGAAGGGGGCATTCCCTATTCCTAATCTAGGGCTAATAAATAAATAAATAAATAAATAAATAAATAAATAAATAAATAAATAAATGTGTGTGTGTGTGTGTGTGTGTGTATATATATATATTTAGAAATAAAAACAAAAATGCGACTCTTGGGGGTATTCATATTGTCAAAATAATGATCACCAAGAGAATATCTATCAAAAATAGAATTTAATCCACCAAGCTTTCGTCTTATATATATATATATATATATATATATATATATATATATATATATATATATAGAGAGAGAGAGAGAGAGAGAGAGAGAGAGAGAGAGAGAACATATATATGCAAAACGTTACTGTGCACATTTTTACACTATATAACAGCCTCCAAAATGCAGAGAATTTAAGTATTTTGTTCCTGCTTTACTTAACAATTTTTTTATGAAAACCAAAAGAATACAGTAGTACAGACTATATAGCATCCCAAGTTTTTTTAAAAAATTAAAAGATTACTTGCTAGGACTAGCAAACATCTTTTCAGATTTCAGCACAAATTATAACTAGGAAAAGTGCACGTGTATGTATGTGCGCATGTGTTAATAGGAAATATAAATATTCTTCCATTCATCTTTATTAGAAAAAACTGAAATATTCAAAAGCTTTTAAGTGTTGAAGTGGGAGATTACTATAACAATTGGAGTCTGGATAAACATGTGTGCCCTAAAGCCTAATACACTAGAATAATAACTGAATTTTAAAGATTAATTTAAATGTTAAAAATTTAAATACATGCAAAAGTTTTATAGACAATAACTAAACTTAGATATCCTTCTCTAACATCTCTTCAACTGTCCCAATTTTGGCATGATTATCAAACTTCATGATACAAACAGAACAGTCATGAACAAAAGAAAATATTTTCATTCCAGTATGCTGATCCAAATGTAGCTGGATAATTGGAAGGCGAAACCTTGAAATAACTAGTACAACACTAACAAATAATACTGCATTCTGTCCCTATTACTTTCTAAAACTGACCACAGAAATACCCAAAATTAAAGCAGTGTTCTGCAAAATATTATAGTGTAATCTGGGTTTGTTTCTCAGTTTCAGAACTAATTAGATGTTTTTGAGTAACAAAGAGTTTTACAAGTAGATATCTAAACAATTCAGGAAATTTATTTTGGGCTTCCATATGAAACCTACTGAACAAAGAGAAACATATTTTCTAACTTGTTTCCCTCCCCCCCAAAAAAGTAATTCAGAAGCCTCTGTTTCAAAGATGGAATTTCACTAGGTATATTCTACACTGAAGGACTTGCAAATGTGTATTTTATATACTGAAGATTGATAAATCACCATCTCACAATACTTTCTCCATGGTTAAATGTAAAAAAAAATGATAGGGAATTATATTAAGTCATGTATCTCCCACTAAATTTTCATTTCCGTTGTGCCAATGAATGAGTAAAAATTATGCAGATTTTTACTAACGTTCAGCAATTTCAGCTATACTAATGACATTCTGTTTTAAGAGAAGAAATGAATACCAGGCAGATAAATTGTGTATTTTTTTATCTTAATTAAGATGGCTAGGGCTAAAGCTTCTTTTCTCCCAATAATGTTGTTCTTAAGTAGTAGGCTTAGCAATAAAGACAGAATCTTTTAAAAAAGAAATATATTCACATCTGCAGTAAGTGTATACAATATACTGGAGATTAGATACATTTGTTTTCATAGTATTTAGCATGTGGTATATATTTTAACATTGCAGGCATTTACCAACAAGCAACTAAGTATATAAATGAACATGGCAGTGAAATATATATTCTCAAACTGACGGACTGCTGAAATTGGACTAAGATATGAGTACTTTAGGGGTTGAATTACTTCAGATATGTTTCGATTAGACATCTCCATTTAAGGTTACAGCTCAATTCTCCACAGCACTACTTTCTAGATGTCTATACAACTATTCTTACTGAGAATTACTCTTGAACATCAAATTTACAGGACAAATCTACACTCCAAAAAGGAAAGTCCAGCATTTATCGTCAGGCAAGACTGTTCAAACTTTTTAATCTGAGAGCCAAACATCATGAAAATATGCCTGTAGGACAGTGTTTCCCAACCTGGACAATTTTAAGGCATGTGGACTTCAACTCCCAGAATTCCACAGCCAGCGTTGCTGGCTGTGGAATTCTGGGAGTTGAAGTCCTCATGCCTTAAAATTGTCCAGGTTGGGAAACACTGCAGTAGGATACTTTTCTGTATTGATTTGAATATACTTTTCCAAAATCAATGGACTTGCTCAACAAAACCCTTTTCACAGATTGTCACGTAGTTACTCACCAGGAAGCAGACATCGTCGAAGCCATTGAGAAGCAATTTACTTTCGTACTGCTGTAAGCCGATGGACTCCAGCCACTCCCCAACACTCTGCTCCAGCATCCGTGAACCTGATGAAAGAGGAATCGGCAGACGCTTGAAAAAGGAAAACCCATAAAGGCGGTAGCAGCGGCACTCTGAGGAAGAGAAGTGGCATTGCCACATCATCGTCATTATCATAAAGGAGCCAAACCAAGGCCAGAGCACAATTAGATGGCAGACAGCGCCTCTTCCGCACACCAACCATGAACAATAAGCTTCTGTCTTGTTCAATCTAGAGCATTAATTAGACGCACAGTTATACTTAAGACTCGGAATCCACGTTGTTTATAATTGTCCCTCTGGTCCAAGCATTACATGCATTGATTTCCTGGCTTGAGTATGCTCCTCACCAGGTGTACGCACTCCAAACCTCACAAGAATCTTGGTCAGCTTACTCTCTCATCTGCAGGGGCTGTAAACTTTCCAAAGCATCATTCCAAGCCAGAGCTAGGAGTAACAAGAATGTCCAGCTCATAAATACACTTAGCCCAGCAGACGCATTCATGCAACTTCAACTTGAGATGCATTACTTCAGATTCATTACCTTGTGCAATAGTAAGGAAAACCGTTAGCATTGGAGATGCAAAGCAGTTAGAGAGAAAATATATCTTCATGCAGTTGAAAGAAACAAACAGACACAATAGGAGTTCGGAAAAGCAACATCAGCCAGATTAATAAGCAGCTATCCAAAGAAAACATGCAAACCCCCCCCCCCCCAGACACACACACACTGCAGTAGAAGAATAGAGACTTATACTTTTTTTCCCCCAACAGTCCCGAAACAGGCAAACCATGATAAGGGTTCTTCTTTGTTATTTTATTATAAGGAGCGGAGGCATGATTGACAAGCCTAAGCTCAGAAGTCCTGCCACTGTCACTTTACTACCTATCCAGATATATGACATTTTGACAGCCTGTACTGATTGAACTGGGCTGGGAGTCAGCACCAACATTCAGATTAGAGCAGAAATGAATACACTGGAGCAAAATGAAAAGATTCAGTTCATTTTCCATCCAAAGTCTGCTCCTGCCAATTCTTTGTTGACTTTCATTTGCCAGTCCTTCATTTTCTTCTGCAAAATGCAAGTACCACCTTCACACTCCTCACACAGATAAACAAGTAGTTCTCAGAACAAAGCCTTTAAAGTCCTGGATTTAAGAGGAACAAAAACTGCTGAACACCCACCCACCCCCCTCGCCTATCCTCTGTAGCAGTTAGGATCAGATTTGTTCTGGCAGCTCCTTTCAGCCAGTTAATGAGAAGTAAGTTCTTCAAAGGCCAACAGAAGTTATGCAAAATAGCTCTTCTTTTCTCTACAAATAAGAAGTCTAGGAATTAGTTACTTTCCTTCGCTGAACAGAAGATACTCGATGTAATCAGGAAAGTTCAAATTCCACAGCTTTGCAGTCCTTAGGTAAATTGCTATGCAAACCACAATTAGATGCTATGCAAAGTAATTCTTCTTTTGTCTACACCTAAGAAAGTCTAGGAATTTGTTACTTTCTTTTGCTGAAACTGGAGGCACTTGATTGTAATCAGGAAAGTTCAAATTCCACAGCTTTGCAGTCCTCAGATAAATTGCTATGCAAACCACGCAGTATTTTTCTCAGCCTTCTTAGCATGCCCGCCCTTGAAGACAATTTGCACAATATTATTGATGACACTCAGGTTGCAGCCTTTGAACCCTGTGGTTGTTCGAAGTTCTGCACATTTAAAACTAGTCCCCGCTCCTTCCTTTCTGTGATGCCTACACAATGCAATGCTGGTTAGATTCTGAACAATTGGAAAGGGTTCGAAATCCTGCTGCACTGGCCTGCAGAGAAGATCCTCTGTTAAGCAATGTTAATGAGCGCCCGGGAGCTGGCCTGCCTTCTTAATGCATACTGCAGCACCAGGGATGCAGCACTCAGGAAAGGTTTCCGCCTCCCTTCTTTGATAAAGCCTGGCCACAGGGTGATTTACTCCCCAGATTCAAGCAGCAGCCTCTGTCTTATTCAGAGAGTCTCTCCTTGTGCTGGACAATTTCTTTTCCACTCCGGGAGCAGGCAAAAGGACCACGTATTTTCCCAGGCAGGCATGTGTGTCTCTTTCAAAAAGCTGCAGCAGACTGCTTTGTCTAAAGGCGGCCAGCTAGCTCCACAGTTGCTGCATCTCTTCTTCTCCCAGTGGCTGTGCCCTTCCCTCTCCTCATGCCCACACCCCTCCCAGCAGAAGCAGTGATCAGATTTCAGAACAGAAGCTGGCAAAGGAGAAGAAAATAAGCCCCGTAATGCCTACTTTAAATGTACAGAAGGGATTCAATGAGTCTGAGTTACACTATTTAGTTTTATGGTGTAAAGCTGACATAATCTGTTAGGATTAATTTATCAGAGGTAAACTGAAGAAACATTCTGATTCAGAAAGTGGGTACAGTTGAAGGCAGGTAAGGGAAATTAGACCGAAATATACAATGCTATCGTGGTACCTTGTGTACTTGTTTGCAAAAACTGCTGCGCTGGGAATTTTTAATAAGGTTTGCCTCTATTAAGTGTGATGATGTAATACAAGGATAAAAGGTATACTTTCCAACACTATGAGGGGACACATCTTGCTTACAGAGAACAAACACTGAAAGCATCAAACAGTCCTACTTTGATAACAGACTTTATAATCTTCAGAGGAGACTAGCAAATTATTAGGCACACTGTCTTGAATATCAGCAAAAGAGACAACCGTATTAGCATTACAATGAGACAAATTGTTTAGGTAAGGCCAACTCATGATGTCTATGCAAAATCAACTATAACAGTTAATTCCTGTAGAAATATATCATGTGGGATTGTAACTGCTTAATCTTTAGGCAGAGTGATCTTGACAAGCAAAAGCAGTTATTTAAATTCATGGCTGTACCTGTGATAGGACTAAGACTATTGCAGATTAATTTTATTTTTCAGGCAGGAAAGTTCATGCAGTCAGGAGACGGATATTAGAATGGAAAACACTGCTGTCAAACTTAATTAGATAAATTGGAATTTAAAGTTGTAGAATGCAAATTGAAATAAAACCTGATTTAGAAGAACTTCTAAAATAATGGTTTAAATGCTTTTAAAATGTATTTTACCAGCAGTATACCATATGAATTCTGTGTAGTGTTAGAAGCTTCCAGTGTAGTGTAAACTCTTTAGAACTATTTGTAATCACACAATAATGTGATTTATGATGTGACTTAAGCTTCATCCAAGTCTAATTAATACATAAAGAATTCTGATTAATAAACTGCACACACAAAATAGTGTATTATATCAGGTTTTTATTCAACACTCTGAGCCAACATTCACTGTCAAGCAAAGACAATGGGGAAGCCAGTTTCACTTAACAACTGTGTTACTAACTTAACAACTGCAGTGATTCACTTAACAACTGTGGCAAGAAAGGTCATAAAAATGGGGCAAAACTCTCTTAACAAATGTCTCCCAATTGTTGAGCTCAATTGTGGTCGTAAGTCAAGGACTACCTGTACTTTGTTTTGCCTTATAAAAATGCAACCCAGCCACACGCCCGTTTCAAGTATACAAGTATCCATTTTATCATTATTTAATTTTAAGGAGCCATGGTTGTGGAATGAAAGCTAATCCATCATCTGCTTCCCTCACAATACAATTACAGCAGTCAGTTAGGTCATCTTATAATGTGGAACTGGCAACAAAGCAGATGCCTAATGTCTACAGAACTGTGCATACCTACAATTATGTGCCTATATTGTCAGGATCAGTATATTTTCTGCAAAGCAGTTACATCCACACTTTGGCCACATGAGCCATTATGAGAAAGCAAAACAAACCAGATGAACCTCAAAAGGCTGTTGATTGTACAATAGTTCTAGATAATAAAAAATAAGTCACCTGCTGCACAGGAAGACAAACACCTTGGAAAAACTGGTCAATTGCATTTAGTGGTGGCTATCAGGTACGAAATGGATACCACAAGACTCTATGAAGGGAAAGGATGTTAAGCTACTTCGTGTGAACGTACAGTATGGGCCATATAATTAACCTGGTTGGATTTATGTAATGAAGCAAACTTTGAAGTCTACCTGGAAGCTGGGGTTAACAGAAGCAGATTGCCTACTGACTGGCACTCACAACTGTTGCTTCATTATAATGATCATGTGAGCCCTCCATTGGCACCAATAGTTTTCAAAGTGCATATGTATGCAATTATTTATTAAGATACATTAAGGACCACCTGCTCCAACCAGGGTTGATTGTTCAAGGCAAATGTCCCAGGAGAAACTATTAGAGATACCCCATTTTTGTGATGTGAAGGATGCTGAAACCAGAACATATTACTTTTTAGTTATGTCACCAATGATGTGAAACACCCTCCACTTAGGAGTGAAAGTGGCCCTTTTGGTAATGGACTTCCAGAAACTAAGCTTTTCTGACAGCCTTTAGGAAATCTCATGAATAAATAATAAAATAGATAATAAAGCACACAGATACTAAAATTAAATAAATAATTAAAACTGTATTAGTAGTTTTGATATTAATGTAAGTTTTATAACTATGTAAGACACAGGAGTCTTGAAAGCAGAACAGATATTCAGTAAAAATTTAAAAAAAACATATTTATATCACATTTTTAGTTCCTAATTACGGGTATTTTCAGATGAACAACTCCAAGATCTATCAATTAAGAGGCACTGTGGAGCTATTCCAAATTCCAGAACAAAATCCAATTGGTAAGAAAAAAAGACTTAGTTGAAAGACATCAGAGGACAGCAATTCAAAAAGAACTTCACTTGGAATCATTGTGGAAGTCCAAGGCTGAAGCAGGACTAGAAGTTTTCTTATTCATTGACAAAGAAATCCATTATGCCAGTGATAAGATTAAAAATGACTGCTGCAGTTATAAAATATCTGTAAACATGAAGCATTTTCCCAAGGTCAGTAATATAAAAAAAAATAAATTAGACTGTTAATAAATTGCCTCATTCTGAAACAGGCCAAATGGCCATAGGAAATGACCTAAGGTAACCATAATACCTCA